ACCGAAATATTTTCTGGCATTAAGGGGGGGCTCTGAATGTTCTCGATATACTGAAGGGGAGGGGGGCTCCAAACTTTTCAAAGTTTTGGTCCAGTGGGGGACTAGAGTGTTCACACCAGTGAACTGTTGACTCCCACCATAGTAACATAGTTAATAGAATAGATGGTTTGGAACTCATTATTATAACAATATAACTCATTACCTATGTTAGTGAACAATAACATTCATAAATCTAGTCTTTTACCGTCACGTGCGTATTGTATTTTTGCCCAACTAACCAATAGCAATGTTTTAGGAAAGTTACCTATCTATGACTCAAACAATAGGTTAAATTGAAAATATTGCTTTTGGTGGACATGCAAAAATATAATACACATGTGACGGTGAAGGAATTTATTTATGAATAAACGTTGACTAGCATAGATAATGAGTTATACTGCTATTCTAACGATTTCTAAACCATCTATTCCATATTAACTGGCGGCATGGGGGAGCTCCACATGGAATACGTAAAAGAACGAAGGCTACAACAGTACAACACACGCCTGCCAAAAATGAATGCAAAAGCACCAATATGCTTCAACTTCTGAAATTTTTATTCTGTTTCTACCAAATTTTCCATGAATATAGAACATATCATTCTTACAAATCGTATGTTTCTTGTTTTTGGAATTGCTACTTAAAATACGTCACAAACTTGGCGCCAAAAAATAAAAATAAGCTATTGGTGATTTTAGTATTGGTGAATCCATTTAATAGAGCAGACTAAGGGTACTCCAATTAATTAAATCTGAAATCTGTTTCTAAATACAACCATTTTATGGGAAGATATAGCGATACAAATGTCGAAAAATCTGCCATATTGTTACTAAAATAGAACAAAATGGCGGATTTTTAGAAATTTAAGTCATTTTATCTTCGCAAGGAATGGTGTCAGGGTCATCGCGACCGAGGTGTGTGGGAGGGAGGTGTAAAACTCCCCCTACTATGAAATTCAGGCAAAAATCATGTAAAACCAAGTTAAAATTTTGACATTTTCAAGTAAAATTTGCGTTAATAGAGTAATTATTTTTGTGAAATGATAACCATTTTTGTAAAATACAGTCAATTTACATACAATTTATTTGCAAATTTGCTCTAGAAAACGCCAGAAATTCAGTCCTAGAGATTCATAAATGTAAAAGATTTTGCGGCAGGACCCCCAGAACCCCCTATGAGACTGCCAATCAATCGCAAAAAGCTTCATTATAATTATTAGCATTGATACATTAGCATATTTTAACATTGAAAATCAAATTTCACGTAAAATCCTCCGACATCCCCTCCTCAAACGTCAGATGGTTGTATATCGAAGCCGATTTCAGTTTTAAGACATCATTAGTCTGCATGCTCATCTAGATGGATACATGAAATCACCTATGGCTTGTTTTAAATTTTTTGGCGCTAGGCTTGTGAAGTAATTTACCCGCCAAAAAGTAACAGATCCAAAAACAAGAAAAGCGTATGATTTGTAACAATGATGTGTTCTATGTTCATGCCGGATATTTAGTACAAACGGGATGAAAATCAAAGAAATTGAAGGATACTGGGGTTTTTGCATGTATTTTTGACAAGCATGCAAACAAATTTGCAACAGATACCAGGAGATAAGTTGGGTGGGGCTCTCGAAGGTTCCAGAACATTAACCTGATCCACCAAATCCCGGCCACTACCTGAACGTGTTCAAAACTCCGACAACGCTGAATGACGGACAACAACAACCTGTCGATAATTTCGCCACTAGAGGCTAGAGCCAATCTAAAATGTTTTTTAAAGACGGTGCCATTTCATCTGGCAATAGTGAGGTGAAAGAAGCAGCAAGTTAGTATTTATGTTGAGGAGAAGCGCTTGCTTGAGTATATCAGACATCTTGAGAACTAGCTGCAAATTGTATCTATGATCATGACAAGAGAGAATCCCCATGATTGTACTACTTCGATTCCAATTTTTTAGTTTGGGGGGTGGGGGGAGGGGCATTGAACATATTAGAAACTTTGGGGGGCATCGAAAATTTGCCAATAGCCTCAACAGGCGACCTGTAATATTATGAGCTTTTTCCACGATATCTTCATCCCCCCTGTTAGATATATAGATATAGACGGACAGCGGTCATACGCACGGACATGCCATTAGATATGTACAGGGTGTATCAAAATAAACGCAATTCATCTTTTGTGCTTAATAACTTTCGAAATACTATTTCTAGTTAAACGCTTTTAGGCTTACTTCAAAGCCTGTTCTTTTCTCTTTCAAACAAACTATTATCCTTGTCTCCAATGCTAGTAATAATTGCACAGGAAAAGATTTAGTAAAACCTATCATTTTAGTTGCTGTTTAATTATGCAAGTTTACTATGTTATTGTTTAGTCGGTTTAAATGTTAGAATTTTCTTCTTTAAACTTTAATGTTGTCGTCACTACATCTGGAAAACCACGTAAGAACAAATTAAAAGTATTTTAAAAGAGACCAGGTTGTTTGAAAATCCTAAACGAATACTAAAAATCGTCAAAACATTCTGGTGTCTGAGCCAGAGTGTCATCGAATTGCGATGTAATGTAAACAGAAATTATAGCAAGTTGATGTCAGTCAGCTTAGATGGTCCAAGCCAAAATTATATCGCATTTGAAGTTTCAAACTGAGTTAAAAATAGTGGAGGAAAAGCCGTAATTATACTTATTGTTACAATCCATTTAATAAAATGCAACATTTCTTTGTTTTAATGAAAAAATCAGTTATTTTCATGAGAACGATTTGTTATTCCATCTCAATTTTTTTAATCTCCAATCGCAATAACGTAAAGTATTATTACCCGCGAACCAATGATTCAAATTTAAGAAACAACCCACTGTTAGAAAGCTGAATGGCTACGCTTTAAAATGAATGTAAACTTTAACGTTTTCGTCTATTATTTGTTTAGCAATTTACATTTCAGTCGAGGATTGCGCTTTTTTTGATACACCCTGTAGATCGGCCATGCTTATGTATTATTCATATTTGTTAAAAATATAATCTAAATACACGACAGTGGCGACGAATTTGGGATTGTTATAAGTCCAGAAATGACGACGATTGGAAAAATTGATGTTTTTGATGAAACCCAAGAAAGCTGGGAGACGTATGTCGAACGAGTAGAACATTTTTTCCCTGCAAACGATGTCGACGACAATCATCAAGTGCCAACTCTGCTGAGTTTGATTGGAAGCAAAACGTATTCATTATTAAAGGATTTACTTTTGCCAGAAAAGCCTGCAGACAAGAACTTTGATGAAATAGTAAGTACATTACAGAAGCATTTAAATCCTAAACCACTAGAAATAGCCGAACGGTTTCGTTTTTATAAGAGAAATCAGCAAGAAGGGGAGAGCATTTTAAGTTATATAGCTGAGTTAAAGAAATTAACCACACATTGCAATTTTGGAAATAACTTGGAAGAAACCTTGCGTGCCAGAGTGGTGTGTGGATTAAGTAATCAGCAAATTCAGAAACGTCTCCTTGCAGAGTCAAAATTAAAATTCTCCAAAGCTGTTGACATAGCAGTTGCTATGGAAACAGCCACTGGAGATGCTACAGAGATCCACAGCAAGGGTAGAGAAGAAAATCCTCTTGGTCTTGACAAACTGACACTGAACAGACCCTCGAATAGATCAGATAGTGGCCCACCTTCCCCTGTAGTGTGTTATCGATGTGGAGCTAATACCCATGTTGCAACTGAGTGTAGATTTAAGAAAGAAGTCTGTCAGAAGTGTGGAAAGAGAGGTCATATTCAAAGAGCTTTCCGGGCACAACAAAGCCAGGGGCCCGGCAGACCCTCGCCCAGATCAAGATACCAGAAATCGACCAATGCCATAGAGACCGAACCAGATGAGTATGAACACTTGTTGAATAACCTAGAAGTTCATAATGTAAACAAATCAAACAGTGATGTCATATGGATTGACGTGAAAGTTGAAAATCAACCACTATCCATGGAACTAGACACAGGATCGGTCTTGGCCATTTTGCCATATGACATGTTCTTGGAAAGATTTCGCGACAAGAAGTTAGAGAAAACAACCACCGTACTAAAGACCTGTACTGGTGAACTGATTGTTCCAGTTGGTTGCCTTACCATGCAAGTTGAATACTTAGATCAATCATGTCAATTGCCATTCCATGTAGTCCAGACTAAGGGTCCAGTGTTAATGGGTCGAGATTGGCTTCACAAGCTTCGCCTCGACTGGAAAACCATTAAGTTGTTGAAATCCTCAGATTCCAGCCATAGAAACCATGGCACGACTACACAAGAGCAGCTAAAAAACCTATTGGATACGTATGCATAGGTTTTTAAAGACAAGCTGGGAACTTTCAAATCTGCCAAAGCAAGGATAACCCTCAAAGAAGGTAGTCAACCACAGTTTCGCAAAGCTCGTCAGGTCCCATATTCCTTACGACCGGAAGTGGAGGAAGAACTGAAGAGACTTCAGAGCGAAGGTATTTTGTCGAAAGTAGAGTGGAGTGATTGGGCGACACCGATTGTACCAGTGCCGAAACAAGATGGTTCAGTCCGTATTTGTGGTGACTTCAAAGGTACTATTAACCCAACACTACAAGCAGAACAGTATCCTCTGCCTCGAATCGAAGATATCTTTGCCCATTTAGCTGGTGGGAAAAGGTTTTCCAAGATCGACCTCCGCCAAGCTTACCATCAGATTGAGCTGGAGGAAGAATCCAAGAAGTACCTTACAATTAATACGTCCATGGGCTTGTTTCAATACAATCGATTGGTGTTTGGTATCACCTCAGCTCCCGCCATTTGGCAGCGTTCCATGGATCAGATTCTGGAAGGAACTTCTGGTATTAGTTGTATCCTAGATGATATGATTGTGATGGGTAAAAGCGACGCAGAGCATATGGCTAACCTGGAGGAGGTCCTTCGACG